TCATGTGAATTTTCTTAGTAACTTACAGGTAATGATCCTAAGTGTCATGGGTAGTTTATAGAGACCACAGGCAATTCTTTTTGTCCCTTGCATGTAACAACAGATGCTAAACATGCTGTATTCTGAGAAGACAGATCTCTGGTGTTCCTGAGGAGCAGGACATTTTTTGGGTTCTCTTTAGTGGCTCTTAGCCCAGAGAAGATTGCAGGGTGGGCCTTCTGCCCAGTTTCCTCACCCTGGGGACGGTTCTAGCTTCTCCTGGAAGCTGTTTGCTGGGAAGTGTGTCAAAGCTATCTGCACTTCTATGCCAATCTTTGGGCATTCTGATAGTGTAGACAACATATAATTGCATTGGATGTTTATCCAGAGAGTTAACTAACTGGTTTTTAAAAATTAATGTACAGCAGGATTTATAATAAGATAAAACACTTTTTTAAAAGATCTCTTGCATTTGAATAATTTTTTCAGAGGAGAGAAATTAGGATGTTCTTTGTAGTGTTTTTCCCAAATTAGATAATCAGAACTTTCTGAATTTAAAGAAACCAGAAACAATGTCTGAATGATAAGATTTGGGGAATAAAGAGCTCTGCAAATTTTAAAACACACTAATTAATGTGACAGAAGTACAGGACTAATGTGGATGAAAATGAATGTAAATTCAAAGCTTAAAAAAGTAAATGGAATTGTCAGAGTGAATTTGGATACTGTTTCAGAAGGAGTTCCCATGATCTTGAAAATGAGAAGTATTAATTCAAGGAAGATCCATGGTTGGGTGTACATAGCAAAGTATTTGACTTTGAGAAAAACGACAGAGTGGCCTCTGCTCTGTGTGGTGTGCTTGGAGACACGATGCCCCCCAGGACCTGAACGGCCTAGCTTGGGAGATTCACCAGCCAAGCCCTGAACATGGCTCACCCACCTCTGAGCCCATTGTTTTCTGCAGCCCCTGGGACTTCTGAGACCATATTTCCTGATGTGGAGGCTCCTTTTTGTCAGGTCCCCAGTCAAGCTGTGCCTCCTTTCGGAGTTATTACTTCATGGGGGGAACCACCCTTTTGACAGGTGTGGGGAAGGGAAAAAGAGATCTTTTTCCCTCTACCCTTCTAGGTTCTCCAGCTGGAGCCCTGTAGCTTTGACAAAAGACAGATGAACAAGAGAAAGGCACATAAATTTATATGTTTTATGTGACATGAGAACCTTCATAAAGAAGCGAAGACCTGAAGAAACTGTTAACCTGAATGCTTGTACTAGGTTTGATGAGGAGTGGAAAGGCGTGGAAAAAATGTGATATGCCAAAAGGGCATGAGCTAAGGGCAGTAAACTGGGGGAAACTTAGCAAGGCCTGTTCATTCTGATTTTTTTTCAGCATCCTTTGGTCTTAAGGATGTTCCTTTCCTCCAGTTTTGGAGAGGGCATCTCTCACATGAGGGTCTTATGACCTATGTCAGAGAAGGACAACAGGTAGTCATTCCTGCACCTGATATTTCTCATATTCCTTCAGCTTACAGTATTCAGTCGGCCAGGGTAGCATTTTTGAGGGTAGCATGTTCTGAACCTCATCACTGGCCATCAACACTTTTCCCCCAGCTTTCAGGAGTATATTTGATGACTGTGTCTTAAAAAGGGGTATGGGCTTTTAGCTCTAGAAAAATAATCATAAGCATGGGTTCAAGTCCCAGTATTATAAGGTGGGTTCTTATTCTCTCTCTGCCTCCGTTTCCCAGTCTAAAAAATGAGGTTAGTAATAGTTACCCAGCCTCTGATTTTAATAAGACTCAGGTATGATTGATTGCCCTAGCCAGTTTGGCTCAGTGGCTAGAGCGTTGGCCTGCGGACTGAAGAGTCCTGGGGTTTGATCCTGGCCGAGAGCACGCACCTTGGTTGCAGGCTCCATCCCCGGCCCCCATCAGGACGCATGTTGGGGGCAACCAATCAATGTGTCTCTCTCAGATCCATGATCAATCTCTCTCTCTCCCCCACTCTCTCTGAAAAGCAATGGAAAAAGTATCCTCAGGTGAGGATTTAAAAAAAGAAAGAAAGAATCAAGTATGATAATATAAGGGAAAACACTTTGTTGGCTATGAATGTAAGAGATTATTTAATTTTCAATATGTGGAATATATATATAAATTGTGAGGGTATCATAAATCTATGACTAAATAGAGATGTCATCAAACAACTGTTCATGGGAACACTCCATTAGCAATAATGATTCTCAGTACCTGCTCCATATTAGAATCACCTGGGAGAGCTGCTTTTACAAACTACCAAGTCAACATCTAATTGAGTTAGATTGGCTGGGTTTGGGGCCAGGGCACCCTAAAAGTGTAGTCTTAGAAGAATGCTGTTTGTGGTTATCTACGCAGATAAATAACAACAATCTTAGAGCACAAAAAATTGGGGGTGGGGTGGACATACAAGAACAGACACTGAGAACACACTTTTTTTGTAGGCTGAGGTTATATTTACATCATTTACCCCTTTTCACGTGGAAACTTCCCTATAGAGTTTCTGAGAGGAATTGCAATCCCCAGATACCCAATAACAGATATAACACGAAAGAAACATTGCCTCATGAGTCTCCAGCTAGAGTTTTAATTCATCCTCGGTTATGACACAGTTTTTTATTTTTTTATAGCACACATTGCAAGTGTTTCTGAATGGTGCTGGTTATTGAATTTTCTTAGAACAAATCTGTGACAGCTCTGACCTAGAAACCACTGATTAAATGGGCAGAAGTTCATTCCCAGGTGGGAGAGAACAAACTTCCCCTGCCTACTAATCAGTGACCTGAGCCTGATGCTTCTTCGGCTTAGATCTCAAGCTTCAAGAAAACCTCAGATTGGCCCACCTCTGATGTCTTTTGGGACATGAGAGGGATTGTTCTCAAATTGAGGCCCCAGGCCAGCAGCACCAGCTCACCTATTAAAAATGTGAATTCTCAGGCCCCACCCCAGGCCTACTGGATCAGAATATCTGTTTCAACATGACCTCAGAGACTGTGATGGATGCTCAGGTCTGAAAACCACTGAGCAGCACAGAGGCTCTTTCCTTGTTTTTCTCAAGAATAAGTGTGTATTTCTCAGTAGAAAAGCATGAGACAGGAATTTGCAGGCCGTGCTTGGCTTTGCTCCCTTCTCCACGCCTCCTCCTTCCATCTGATGACGAGGCACGGCCGGGTAGAAGGAAAAGGGGGGGTAGAACATTTTTTAATTACTCTGTCGTCAAGGTTCCTATTCCAATCTTTTCAGAGATGGTGCTCAGGTAAACACATATTGTTTTTATAAATGCATAAAGATATATTGTATTATAAATAGATACCCATTATAAAAGTATAAGGATAATTATGGGTATATATATTACATAGATATATAAATTTATAAAGATACATTGTGCATATTTAAAATCTTTGTTGTAAATGCAGGAGAGACCAAATCAGGAAATTCCAGAAATCAGGGCACCATTGGAAATCCAAAGGTCATGAGAAGAGATTTGAGAGACAGGAGGTCAGCAGGGGAAAGAAAGAAAACTTGGATGGATGGAGTGGGGAGAAGAGCAATGCTTGGTAAGGGCTTCTGCCTTGCACAACTCAAGAATTTCCTGCAGATGGTGCTCCCAGAGCTGTGCAGTGCAGGGCCCTGGGTCAGAGCAAGGTTTCTAGAAAGTCAGTCACACTGTGATTTCCTTAGGACTTTAGAATAGGTAACTGAAGACAGCTGTGCTGTCTCCTCCAAGGGTATTCAAGTATGGAATAGATTCTCATCTCTCTTGGGGGTCCTAAAGGTAGGGAAAAGAATCAATGTTGTCTTATCTCTAGAACGCTTCCAATTGTTAACAGTTGAAATTGTGTTATTGTCTCTATCATCTATCTTTCTATCTATCATCTATCTGTCTATCTATCTATCATCTATCTATCTATCTATCTATCTATCTATCTATCTATCTATCTATCTATCTATCTATCTATCTGGTCATCTATCATCTATCTATCATCTTTCTCAAATCAATTCTCTCCAGACACTCAAAGAACTTAAGTTCTATGGCCTATCTTTTAAACATCATGGTTAGCATGCATTGTCATCCCAATAACAGAAATTAGGAATCTCTCCAGAGTGATTCTAGTATTTACATATATGAATTTACTCTCTGTTAAGTGTCTACATGCACTATCTCAATGAGTCTTCACAACCACCTTATGATAGAGTTGCTATTAATATCCTCAGAGTAAGTAGGTGGCTGAGCAGGGATTTGAATCCAGGTCAAAGCCCAAGGTATTCACTCCACCTATTTAGTGGCAGCTAAGGTCTTGATTCAGGTGAGCGTGGAGTCACCCGTTAGATCCTTCATTCGTGGGCTCAAATTGAGATATGCAATTACCTACGCTCTTCATGGACTTGTATTCTTTCCTTCTGTGATTCATGCTTCTAAACCTCTGTTTGCAGCAGTATTTTAAGTTAATTATTGGTACTCTAACAGCTCTTAGACTTCCATGTAGTACTTAAAACACACTGTGACTTTTTAAAATAAAAAACTAACCACTGGGAGCTAGGCATCATTCTCTTCCCTGCCATGTTATAACAGAAATTCGCTAATGGAATAGACATAAACAGAGTCTCCCTAAAAATTTAAGAGGGTCCTGTATTCAGTGGTAATTGTTGTTTTCCTAGTTACCTTCATCTTCATTTGTGAACCTGCCATACACTTTTAATTATGTTCAATTAGTCCGTGTTTTAGAATTTACATTGTCTTTTATTTCCTCTTATTGTCCAACCTATTTTGTTAGATAGTATGCATGCAGTCTAGTTTTTAAGCACATCCACAGAATTCTTTGGGGTGTATTTCCCTTCATAGCTAGCCAGAACATCAAGGGATTGTACTCCCTACGTACTTCTGGCATATTTTAAAGGAAAGAGGATTCATTTATGGTATGCCCAACAGTCCTGAATTCTTACTGCTTTATTGAAAGAATATATAAATAAGATTCTGTCTTTTTATTTCAGGAGTTACAGCATATTGTTAGATCTCAACACATCAGAGCCGAAAAACGTAAGTACGGATCTGTATGAATATTTGAAATCCCATGAAGTCACTACTCTTTGGGCTGACGTGGTCTCTCTCATACTCAGCTGTGGCGGAAGGTCCGTGGTTAGAGCTGGCCAGGAGGAGCAAGCCTGAAGCTCAGCCCTATGCTCATCTCACGATCAACGCCACTGACATCCCATCCGGTAAGTTTCATTTGCATTCAGCTTGAAAGACATTTCAAGAGTCATTTATCAGCTCCATTTGGGTACTCAAACCTAGTATTAGCCTTTTACTAAATTTCTGAGAGCCCTTAACTTCTAGATCAGAAGAAAGATCACTTAGTTAGCCTTCGGTTGGTGATCCACCCTTGGAAACAGTGAACGGCGGTCATGTCAGCATGGACATCATTACTGTCTTCACTTTCAGATCGTCAGGGTGTGTTTATTTTAAATGATTGCCAGTTAAGATCTCACAACTGGGAAGGACAATCCCGTATCATGCTCAGCCACATTTACCCAAGCTAGAGCTGACACATCCCCACTGCCGCCCTGTGAGGTGCGTGAATTCATCCAGGTCAGATACTCAGCCGCCTCCTGCCGAGTTCCAGGTAGGGGCTTGACAGAGTGATATTTAAGAAGCAGTAGCCCTCTAGAATAGGAAACATACTCCTCCTCCTTCAGAAGGTTATCAGTTTCTCTGAGTGAGACTTTACCTCAATGGACTGGAGATCTGATTGTCTTTTGGAAATGAGGAAAGCCAGAGCTCTGTGCCTCCATCTACCTGGATGCCCCAGCTCTTTCATCATATAATCCCCGCTGCTTAGTGCATCTTGGGGTGTTTGAGCATCAAAAAGATTACAAGAACATTATGATCGAGTGACAATCGAACATTATGGTTATTATGATGTCATTTATTCAACACACACTATGTATCAGGCATTTCACTCTGCATTCCTTATCTCTAATCCTTACTACAACCCTGCAAGGTAGAGATTATCATTCAGATTTGCAGGCAGGGAAGCTGAGGTCCACATAGTCTACCTGCTCGAGGTCACAGTGATGGCAGGATTAGAAGGTGAATTCCACTCTCTTTGATGCCCAAGTGGATGCTTTTTACACTATAGGTCTCAGATCTAAGTACCTTGTGGTCAGTTGGTTTAGTCAGAGGGAAATCAATTCAGAGCTCTTATGTTCCTCTTTTTCTGTAAGAAGATTATCGTAGTTTTAATAGGCAGGAGCTCTAACGTCTGACTTGTCTGCATTTGTGGGCCCCCTGCACTGTTTACTGGCTGTGTGACCTTGTGCAAATTATTGGAACATCTGTGCCTCAGCTTCTCCACTGGGATGGTGGTAGAATCTTCCTCATGGGGAGCTGTGCAGACTTAATGAAGACTTAACGAGGTGGTGTACCAACATTGCTATATGGCAGCTGACATTTAGTAAGCACCCATTGAACATTTAGTAAGCACACAGTTTGCTATTATTATTTGAGTTTAATTAAATAATTATACATACTCCACTTTGTTCTAAAAATGAGTTAAGGCAGATATTTCTCAGAGTTGGAAAAAAAATCCATGTTTTAGTAAATAATTTTGAAGCCACCATCATCATAGCATGAGCCATGGAGGGATTTTTCCTGACTGCACACATGGAAAGTGAGAAGCCAACTCAAGTTTTTAGAAGATTTTCTGAAACTGTGTATTCTGTCCTAGATACTTGCTTCATAAACACATTTTCTCTCTGTGTGTGGATGTATGCCTTACAGTGGAACAACACCAGTTTTCTGAGTGTAAAACTATTTTTCATGTCAGCAAAGGCAATCAAATTAATACTGATGTCTCAGCTGTGTGTGCTGTGGATGTTCTCTGCATTTATCTCCTCAGTTCATTTTAAAGGGCATGTGATAAATATTGCATTAGACTGTGTGCCAACGTCTGTTTGGCAATAGCAAGCATGTTTTAGTTTCAAAGCTCTCTCTCCAGGCACCTAACATCAAATCATTGCCAAAAAACAAGGCACAATTTCTGGCCATTTTCTGATGGTTATTGAGTTTGAGACTGAGTGAAATGAGTTAGTGTATGCTTCTGTTTTAGAAAATAGGATTTGTTCCTCTGGCTGGGCCAACAATCCCTTGAGTCCATCTATCTCCCAGTACTAGGTCCTTCACAGGAAGATGGCGTTAATTTTGCGTGTTCATTTTGGGCCTCTGATTCATACTTATTTGCACACAAGAAAAATCAGAATCTGCTTTATACTGACTGCTAGCTTATGCACTGGGAAATGTTTTGTGAGGTTAGAATATGTGGCTTTCTTTAGGGAGATTCTCAGGCTAAATATTTGCAGAGGCCTCTTTTCCAACATCCAACAGCAGTGACTAGAGACTGGGGAGGGGCTGGGGTAAGAGGCCATCAGCATGCCTCACCAACGCTGGGGACCCAGATCTGCCACGAGAGGCCCTTCACCCTGATTGTGGCCAAATCACCTCACTTGTTTCCCAGTATTGTCTGTTCAGGAGTCCTTTCCCCTCTGCGTACTGTGTGTATTCCGTACTCTGCTCGAAGTTTCCCTCACTGACAGGACTCTCCCTTTTCTCAGTTCACCTATATTTGATCCAAGTCTTCCCATCCTCTGGCTCCTTTGTTTCCTCACTGGGCTGAGCTCTCCTGATTGTCATTAATTTCTGCAGCTTTCACTTTCAGTTGCTTTAACGGAACTTCAACCATGTGCTATGTGACGTGCAGAAATGAAAATGTCCTATTTTTCATTGTGTATGCCCGTTTCTCATTTTCTCCACTACTAGTGGTTAGTGCCTTGAGGGCACGCTGCTGGATATAATTCTCAATTATGGGCAGAGGGAACACCCACAGAAAGCACAACGGTCACTTATTAAATGATTGATCAACTAAACGGATGAGCAAATGGATGAGCGAGTGGGTAAAAACAGAGACATGCTTCATAGGAAATGCCACCCCTTCCACCTGACTTTCGCTCTCAGTGGGCGTGGTGTGCAGTCAAGGGTCCTGTCTTCTCCCCTCTCTAGTTCATGTTCCTTCCTTGCCTCCCTGCCCATATCTCTGAGCCCTTGGTTTAACACCAGCTGGCCTATCCCGTTGAGAGGGTAGACTTCACCCTTGTCATTCTGCTCCTCTCTAACAGCCATCGTAGGAGCAGATTATAAGACAAATAATTGATTGTGTAAGTGCTGAATTCAGGAGTAGGGTAAAAAGGAAGAAAATGTGATCATTTGAGATGCAAAACATCTTGAATTCTGTTAGCTTTGTCGATGGATTGCATAACTATCAGTCTGGTGGAATTACTTGACTAGTATTTATGAGGATGTGATGAATAGTCTTGTAGTCTCATCTTGACTCAGTTGGGATGTTTTAATCTGAGATGACCTGAGGCAGGACCTCGGGTAAAGAAGGACACGTGCTGTGGTGGGTCCTGGAGGGTGGTGCCTGTAAGGTCTTCTAATACTCACGCTAGCGCCCTCCCATGGCTGAGATGTAAATCTACTGTCCCTAGACGGAAGGATTGGAACCGCTGGCCTTCCCTTCACAGGCTTAACGATGGGTTGCCCCCCTGTAGCTTGGCCTCTGTGCATTTCCTCCCATTTGCCTTCTGACTTGCTTCTTACCTGGACACAGGCCATACTTATCCCCGAGGGCAGGAAAAATGAGTTTGTGTCTTTGTACCCTCTCAGGTGCCTAGCAGAGAGCACTAAGCACTTCTTAATGTATCTCTCCCCTTTTAGAAGATGAATTCTGAAAAGCTATTCTATTGGAGCAGTGACTGTTATGCTATGGATTTTTTTAACCTCACAGAATTGTGAGGGTGTCCTTGTCATTGAAGGGGTGGATTTTAAGTCATGTGCCTCTCCTCTCCTCAGGTTCCCACAAAGTGAGTCTGTCCTCCTGGTACCATGACCGAGGTTGGGCCAAGATCTCCAACATGACTTTCAGCAATGGAAAACTAATAGTCAACCAAGACGGCTTTTATTACCTGTACGCCAACATTTGCTTTCGCCATCATGAAACTTTGGGAGACCTCGATACAGAGTATCTTCAGCTGATGGTGTATGTCACTAAAACCAGCATCAAAATCCCAAGTTCTCACACCCTGATGAAAGGAGGGAGCACCAAATACTGGTCAGGGAGTTCTGAATTCCACTTTTACTCCATAAACGTTGGAGGATTTTTTAAGTTACGGTCTGGTGAGGAAATAAGCATCGAGGTGTCCAACCCTTCACTACTGGATCCAGATCAAGATGCAACGTACTTTGGGGCTTTTAAAGTTCGAGATATAGATTGAGCCCCATTTTGTGGAGCATCAGTGTGTATTTCCTAGGATGTATGGAAACTTGTCTTTTAAACAAGCCGAGAGAGATGTATATAGGTGTGAGACTACTAGGAGGTATGACCCACGAGGCATAAGAGGCCTCTATCCAAACTTTTGGCTCTGGAGAGAGCATGTGTATTTACAGCCAAAGGGAGATGTTGGACTCAAGGTGTGTTACAGCCTGAAGGCTTTCTTACACAATGGTTTTTAAATTTTGTAATGAATTCCTAGAATCAAACCAGATTGGAGCAATTATGGTCGCCTCTTTGGAAAACTGCATTTGTGCCCCGGGTGGGGTTAATTCTCTGGATCTAGCCCTTGGTTATGTAGCACTATGCGGCCGAAGTAGAGAGGGTGTTATCTAATTGCAAATGGATGACCATCTGAAGGGTTACGTTCTTTTGAATTATTACATCATGCTGGAACCTGCAAATAAATACTTTTTTTCTAATGAGGAGAGAAAATATATGTATTTTTATATAATATCTAAAGTTATATTTCAGATGTAATGTTTTCTGTGCAAAGTATTGTAAATTATATTTGTGCTATAGTATTTGATTCATAATATTTAAAAATGTCTTACTGTTGATATATTTAATGTTTTAAATGTACAGACATATTTAACTGGTGCACTTTGTAAATTCCCTGGGAAAAACTTGTAGCTAAGGGAAAAAATGTTGTTTGTTAATATCAACTGTACTATATTTCTTCATTCTTTTTAACTTAATAGATTTTTCAGACTTGTCAAGTCTGTGCAAAAAAAATAAAATAAAATAAAATGGATGCCTTGAATAATAAGCAGAATGTTGGCCACCAGGTGCCTTTCAAATTTAGAAGCTAATTGACTTTAGAAAGCTGACATCGTCAAAAGGATACGTAATGGGCGACTGGAATCTGTCAAGAGTATTTATAGAATTATCGAACAGGTGTTTTTTCTACAAGTACTACAAATTGTAAATTTTGTTTTTATTTTAAATGGAAAAGTTATCAGTGGCTTATCTGCAAGAGAATACCATTTTTAATTGAATGGAAGTTATTTTATACTGTACAATAAAAACATTGCCTTTGAATGTTAATTTTTTGGTACAAAAATAAATTTATAAGAAAATCTGTCTTGTGGTTTTGTGCTTCTCTTTTATATCTGTCTTGTTCTGTGACCTCGCCCTTTCCAATATGCTAATGTGGCTTCTATATTTCCAAAGGTTACCTAGAAATGCAGATTTAATTAAAAATTAGGAACAGATTCAATTAAATTAATGAGCCTTAGAATTTGAAAAATAATTTGCAAGGGATTTGTATGCAAGAATATAGCCAGATAGAAAACAGAGGCTTCTTCACTCAAAAAAGGAAAATTTTATGTTATGCTTATGAGGAAAAAATGGTATTTTACACAAGTTCGTAATGCCTTGCAGAGCAGCGGTTTGACCTGGAGGAGCCCCTGAACATTTCAGACCTTACCACAGTGAGGAAGGATTAGCAGGAGACTGGTGCTCATGCTCATGGACGTGTATGTGCGTGACCTCTTCAACCCAAGCTGAGAGATGCGAGAAAATGAGCATCTTGGGGAAACACAGGCAGTCATAATTTAAGGCACCTGGATATTTGTGGATAAATGTTTCTTGGTGGTTGTGACAGGATGGAAGGAGAAAAGAAATAGCGGATGTTACAAAGAACTTGTAAGTACTAAACATCAGAGCTTTGTGGCAGGGACTCAGTCATTGACCAAAATGCACCTATTGTTTTAAAACTATCAGTAAATCTAAGATAGATTGATACAAAATATGGTTTCAGTATTGCATAACCCAATGGCTGAGCCTTGGTTCAAGGAAAATTAATTTTGACAAGCGATCAGAGAATTCCTCTACTCCCCACTGACACAAAGTCTTGCACAGAGAACCTTACTAGCTGTCCTGGCTCCTGTAAAGAGATTCTATAATTTCCAAAGGTAACATTCGTTTGTTCATTCCATGCTATTTACTGAGCACCAACTATGTGCTAGGCACTGTGCTGGGCACTGGGTATAGCACTCTTTCTGCCCTTGAGTGGTTTCTGTTCCAGTTTGGTGACTCCAGGGTATGGGCACATGGAGCACGCTGTGGGAGCAGAGGGGAGGCCACCCAGCCCAATGCAGGGGATCACAGGAGGTCTAGAGATGAAATCAGGCTGGACAGGAGGTGGGCTGAAAGGCTCCGAGAGTGAATGTAGAATATCCATTACTATTTTTAACTTACTGCAGCTGACTTACAATCTCTCAAAGATGAGCTAAAACTCGAAGTCTAGGGATGGAAAGAACCTGGGATCTAGTAAGAAACACATGGTGGCACGAGCCAGACTGGGGAACTCACGTGGTGGATGGGCTGCAAAGCTGAGGGAGTCCTCTACAGAGGACCTTGGCTGTAATGTGATTTTTATGTACGTTAAAGGGACTTTTAGAACTTTGCTGCAATGAATCTATATGAAATGGTGTACACTGGCCTGTGTCTCAAAGGAGGCAACTGTATCAAGTGCATGTGGGAGGAAGTGTGGAAGAGGCTTCTTTTCTTTCCTAGTGATGCTCAAGGCTTTCCTGGATCTGAGGGGCAGGATCCAAACCCTTACTTTTCCCACGCACATGCCACTTTTTACTGCTTTCTTCTCTCTCACCCCCTTTTCCACTTCCACTCTCCTGTATGCGTTGTAATCCTTTCCTTTTGTTTTTTCCCTCCCCCCACCCTAAATCCCTGGCTGTTGCCTCAGAGGACCATTTAGTTTCTCCGGTGGCCCCTGCCTCTGACTGAGAGGGAACCAGATCATGTCCACCCTCAGCATCAATGAACTAAACATGCTGAGGAGCGACAAGGTCATGTCAGGAAACCAGGTACCGGATGCTACGGCAAATTGAACTGTTTGCTCATTTTAACTACTCGGCTTCAGTGTTCTTCCCAACACGTCAAACCTGAAGGAAGGAAAGCATGAACATTTACGGTCATCTGTCTTCTGGAGTCAACTTACACAACTATACCAGAGTCAGGTGCACTTGCATCTTTCCAAAGCCGCTTATTTGGCAATTCTTGTTCAGTGAGGTTGCTCCCCCTCACCCCGCCCCTTTTCTTCTGCTTCCATGTCATTCCTCTCCATCAGGCCACCCTAGAAAAATCTCCAGAGAAGATGGCCTATTTTCTCAGTGACACAGGTGGGAGTCCGAGCACTTCAAGCCTCATCTTTTCTCTGTGTCCAATTATTGATTTGGTTTGAGATAGTGGCCTCGTGTTATACTTGTACATTTTGGGGACACAACTCTGATTCAACTTTCAGCTCCACGTTTAGCCTGTGAAGTTATTCTGGGCACACGAGGCATGTCCTCACTTCACTTTTGGCTCTGTTAATCAATTCTTTAACTCCTAGGCTGTGAAATTGAAATATGTTCCCCAGCAGCTGCATTTATAAATGCTAATTAGTTATTGATTCACATTATTATGATTTAGGCTTGTGTCACTTTTTACAATAAAAATATTCATACACCTTGAATGTTAGACTTTAAATATAAAGAGAAATCTATCCTTTTGGTTAATAACACTTTTATGATACTTCTACTCTTGTCATTTAAAAATTCTATTTTCTAATCATCTGCCATCTCCTTTGTTGACTGTTTTTTTTATAGGAGCTTGTTTTATTGCATCTTGACCAGTACTCTAGCTATTTGTGGTGACAGTTTCTTTGATTTTATCAGATGTGGACTAGTTATAACATTGTTTATCTTGCTACTGGTTTTCAACATCTGCAGAGAAAACTTGCAGAATCATTTTTAAAACTTAAAGTACAATCGATATACAATATTACATCAGTTTCAAACATACACCATAGTTATTCAACATTTACATTCTTTACGAAGCGGTCTCCACACTAAGTCTAGTAACCATCTATCACCATACACGGATGGACCTAGAGGGTATTGTGCTAAGTGAGATGTTAGGCAGTGAAGGGTAAAAACCATATGATTTCACTTACATGTGGAAAACGAAACAAGCAAAACAAAATAGAATCTTTTATTTTAAAAATTCGAAGAGGTGCCCCTTTCTGTTGGCAGAGAAATGAGCGAGGAGTTACTTACTCCATTAGTAGTACCCAGAGCTCGCTGGGGATCAGAGTTGGCTTTAGAGACAATAAGCTCTCTTTAAAGATTAATAAACATTTCAAGTTTATATATGAGGGTCCTAAAACCAGGGGATGTCACTCTCGTGGGCAAAAACCAAATTCTCCCTTTTCCTCTAGATTCGGCAGAAGCTTCATTTTTTCAAAAGCCTCATCTCAACAATCTCAATCTCAGATGGTGGAACGGAAGTTCCTTATGAGATTTGAACATCTTTTGGAAGAATGATCCCTGATTTGGGCATCAACTCAAATTGGAATCGAAGCTCCTCTCTGTGTTAACCTTGGGCAGGTGGCCGTCACTGGGATTTACTTTCCTGCCTTGTGAAGCAGGAGTCACTCTGTCTGTGTTGAAGGGTTGTGAGGATTGACTGGCACATGGGAGAGGCTCAACAAATAGGAGCCACCAATATTATCCTTCTTTCCCATTTGCTGCATCCTCAGTCCTAAGGCTCAAGCATTTGACTTTGTTTTCTCCAGCCGCTGTGCAGGGCCGGTATTGAGCAAAGCACTGTGCTCTGCCTTGTGAAACACACCAGGATGGATATTGTACTAATCTCCCAGGGCTACCTAGGTAACAATGACCACAAACTGGGTGGCATAAAATAACAGAAATGTATTTTCTCACAGTGCTGGAGGCTAGAAATCTGAAATCAAGGTGTCAGCAGCATCACACTTCTTCTAAAGGCTCTAGGGAGAATCCTGTCTTGCCTCTTCCCGCTGCTGGTGGCTGCCGGCAATCCTGGGTGTTCCTCGGCTTGTAGCTGTATCGCATCAAACTCTAATCCCATTGTCATGTGGCCATTTTCCCTGTGTCTTCACCTGGACCTTTTTCCTTGTGCCTTGGTGTGTCTCTGTGTCTCCAAATCTTCTCTCTTCATATAAACAACAGTCATTGGATGTAGGGTTACCCAAATCAAGTATGACCTCATCTTACCTTGATTACATTTGCAAAGACCCTTTTTCCAAATAAGGCCGCAGGTTCTGGGTGGACACGGAGTATAGGACGACACCATTCAACCGGGTATAGATATCAAGGGACTTAGAGTCCAAGAATGAAATAAATAGCTACAAATCAAACCATAACTAAACTAGAATAAAATTAATGCTTAATAGAAGTACTACAATGTGCTATACTTTGCTTGTACCCCCCCTAACCAAGTGAGGGCTTATTTTCATTGCAATATGAGTGAAATCATATTTGGATTTGAATAACTATGATGTGTTTGTGCTGGCTGTGTATTTTCATGAGATTATGCTGGGGTTAGGACAGGCTGTTATACACTCTCTTATAACCTCCCTTTCTGTGCAATTTCCTTGCACCCCCTCTCCCCCTGTCCACAGCAGGGTGTCCTGGCCACTACCAGGATTTGTACTTGCTCCTTAGTTCTAATGATAAATGTGGTTTTGCTCAAGGATTAGGAGTTAAAAGCAATCATTTTGAAAGAGTTCATCTCTCTAATAAATCTGTAACAAAATGGAGAAAATGTTCCTCTCCTGGAGTTCCAGAGTGCAGAGGAAGGCAGACCTGCTTCATGGAGCTTTTCCCAGGGGTAACTACCTGTAGGGTGAGCATTAGCAAGGATCTCTGTCTGTGTGCTGGGGGCTGCAAGGTGGTCATGTGGGTTTGTTATTATTGCATTTTGGGGGGCAGCCAGTGGAAGGGAAGCTTTTACTCAGCCACTGTGAGATGTAGAATAGAGCAGCCTGCAGAACCAGAAGAAGAGGGAAGTGCAAGGCCCCAGGCATGACCTCAGGTAGAGGTGCTTGTGCTTTGAGGTGGGGTCCTTGAACCTTCTCTGGGTGGGAAAGTCTGTTCTGAGGATACTGGTCAGGTTTAAAGGAGTTTATTCACATTTTGAAGGAAAACATCCTAGACCCTAGTAAATAAAAGGAGAAAAGTTCACACTCAACTTTAGGGAAACACAAATAATAAACAAGACTTATTGAAAATACCTAAATCAGGAAATAAGTCATGAAATAG